GTCTAGTTTTTCCGTGATCTTCTCCTCGTTCCATCCTCTTCGCTGGACATTGAATGCCCCGATGAATCTCTTCCTTGAGGTGGTTCGACGTTTGCGACGGAGACGCCCGAGCGAAATTCCAGCGAGAGTTTCCCGCCGTCCTCGCGCGACCCCGCCGATGACAAGGTCTTCTCGGAAAACCGGGACGAAACCACCAGACGTTGGGAACCGCATCGGTCAATCACGGGACTCTTTCTTATCCTGCCCCGCAACTTTCCTCGCTCGTCCGGCAACTTGGTCTCCCGCGCCCAGTCCACCAGCATCGAAGCGGCGGCGATCGCCGGTATGTACCGAAAATAAAGACACGGGAACATACTTTTCGTGCTTATCGTCCCACCGATGCAATAGATTTCGCGGCGAAAACCAAAACGCGCGTGTTCCACGTCGCTTCGGGTCCATTAGGTCTGGTCTCTCGGACGACGTTACCACCGGTGACTTCAGTGACGTCGACCGATGACAGTTCTGCCCTATTCGGGTTGCGGACACACATAGAATGTGAATGATGAGGTAACGAGCCGTTCCTGCCTATTCCGACCGAATGCATACAGGAGGAATACGAGGAGAGCCGGACCGGCGAGACCGCAGGGCGTTCCGGGCTCATCCATCGCTCAAACGGACACCGCTTGGAGAGTTGCGGCCAGCGAGCGTCTCGGTGTCTTTCGGGCTTCAGTTTTGATAGATTCGGCTCACTTGTTATGCCTTGCACGCATGCTGTGACCACACATCACGGTATTTCACGATGCGACGGAGACGCGTCAAACCAACCGAAATCAACCAACCGACATACGAACGTACCTACCGAACGGCCACCGGACGCTGGAACGGAAAAACCGCACCGACGTTCCTCTCCGTCGTCGGTTTTCTGTAGCCAAAGCGTAGACAGAAAGCCCGACGCGGAGACGCGCCCGTTGGAAAATTCGCTGCTGATTGGAGAAGCTCGACGAAAGACCCACAATGGAATTGCGGCTTTTGGCTTCGTATGCTTCATAGTTCCAGCGCCTGGAACGCTCAAACCCCTGTGCTCAAAGCCCTGTGCAGCCTGAAACCGAGACTTCCCGTCTGCCTTTTTTTCCTCACTTCTTCCCGTCATGATGCTTCTCTCAGGGCCGATTTTTCCTTCTGTGATTTCTCGATTGGTATCTGCGATTTCTTCACCGCAAGCGCCGAAATAGTAATCGTGCAGAAATCCTATCCGGCCAAGCAAATACCAGAGCTCTGAAATGCAAGGCGAATTGTCCGTGGAGCGGATCTCTGTTCCCCATTCCTCGAACTCACCTCGCGATTAATCACGAGTAACCCGAAACGACGCGTCGGAGAATCCCAGTACTTTCTGTTCTTCACGAAATTCTGAATCAGGTGGCTGACTATGCTCCGACGGTGTACCCCGAGCTCTCGTTCGAGAATCCGAATGATAAGCTGCTCCACTCGGGGACACTGGCTGCGTTCGGTAGCGCACCGAGAGCGCGACTCACGTATAAAAAAAGTACACGGTCAGGTGCGCGTCCAAGCGAGCGCTTATTCTGTGGGAATCTTCCCTGCCCCATCTGAGGTGTTGCGGTGAGCCTCGACGAACGTAATCCGATGGCTCGATCGATCGATAGATCGCTCAGGAGATTAATACTAATTCAACGGCCCCGATTGGTGGAGTAGAAACCGAAGAGACGGGACTTTATGCTCTACGCCGAGCGATCGGAGCTCGAGCATCGACGGTGCGAATGACCTCCTCCAGCCATTCCGTCCGTCAGTCAGTCAGACAGCCTGGTTGTCAAGCTGACGGGAAACGGAGGGAGAAGAAGCGAAGCCGACCGACTCACTAACGAACTGACTGAGAGAGCAACAGAATGTCGTTGAATCGGAGGTGCTTTAGAACAGCTTAGCGGAACACAGCAACATCAGCGAGAAGCCGTGTGCGACAAATGCCGTCGTTTGTGGCTTCAGATCGAACAGGTGCTTTAAGGCGAGCTTCTGGCTTCAATCCTCTCATTACGACCATGTCTTCTGATTCCATCCTAGACAATGGTTCCTTCCCGAAGGTCCGCGCGGGCATTCCGCAGACGCAAGTTTACGGTTATCTGAACCCCGTCATCGGACTTTTTCTGTCCCACGACGGGTTATTCATCGAGTTTGTTGCCGAAGCGCTGACTGAGAACCGATTCGCGGCTCCGATTTCTACTAAAGAAGCTCTTCCTTACCGACAAGCGTATTTTTCACAGATAAATCGGTAACAATCGTAATCGAGCGGAGATCGATACGGAATCTAGTGATCGTTGAACCCCTACAGAAAAAAAACTCCCTCCACCAAGGAGGATCCAATACGCGCTTCGTCTCCTGTGAGCTTGACGAAAACCCTTCTTGGCACGTCATCTACCTCGATCGCGAGCCTCATTGATACGCTGGAAGATAGTGGTAAACATATACATCCAGCTGATGCCGACCCATGACACGAATGGAGAAGAAAGTCCATTCAAGATCTGCAGTCTTCTCACAAAACACAATGTCGAACGGGAGGACCTCGATCGAAATTCGCGGTGACGGGCCGACCGGACGCTTCCCAGGTCCAGCGACCTCCTTGACCTCTAATCGGAGCGCGACGAATTCCTCGTTCGAAAAACATTCAATGAGTGGCATGGAAACGAAAGGCGTAAAATTCCACACTGTCTTTACCGGAAAATTCGAATTACTGTGAGAGCGAGGAGCCCCTGGGACGTTCCATGATCGGACTTTCTGCGCCTCTTCCAGAATCGCCAAGCCAGCCGATGAAATCGATTGTGCAGACCGCGTGAATAATACTGTAGACATGGCGATCCCGAGTGCCCCGGTCGAAGAAAAAATGGAAGGGAGAAGAATGATGATCATCGCGCAGTATCTCGAGGCGACCGCGCAAGCGAAACGATCAGGTCCGGGATTGAAAGAGCTGAAAGCATCGCATAGCGACGGTTGCTGCGGCGATCGAAGATGCTTTTCGGATGAGCGGGTCGAGAGCTCGGGTTCATCACGTCACCTCGCATCGAAACCCATCGCATCGTGATCAAACAACACTCTTTCATTTTTCCCTTCCATCATTTCTTCTCCTTCGGCCTTCAAATTCTCGTCAATTCCCTGGCAGAGTTGATATCTGCTCCAGATTCACACATCTTGTTTGAGTTGGCTTCTGCTGTCGTCGTCGCCGCCGATCGATGTGCCTCTTGTCTTTCCTGCCGAACAAACTACGGAATAGCGGAAAAATAGATGGACGGAACAGAAAAAATGGCGTGTCATCCTTCGCGATGCTGCCCAGTGCATGCCCCGCCACCACACGAGCCGCTCGGTGGGCGCCTGAATCGCTGGCGATCGAATGCCTCGCAGAGAGCGACATCGGAGGCAGCTGATTGTCTCCTTTTCTCGATCGAAGTCGTCGCAGAAGTTTCTGACGATTGATTCTGTCTGTCTTTTGAAATCCGCGCAGCGCAAATTCCAGCCAGCTGAGGGACCGCTTGTTGACTCCCGCGACGACTCTAGGAGTTCTGCTGGCATCCCTCTTTCCCGTGTTCTCCAGTCCCTCTCTTTTTTGTCGGGCAATTTTCATCTTCATTAGACCGGATCTTCATCAGATCAGGAGCTCGAACCGAGTGAAATTATTGTCATCTTCGGAGCGATTCGGACTCTTCCCGCGAACTGTGAATTCGCTGAAGGCCCGATGTGTTCCCATTCGCAGCGCTCGGATACGGTAGCAGGACGCCGAGAGCTCACGAACTCTCCGCAGACGTCTCAAATCATATGGATCACTGCACTGAACGCACAATGTGCATGTAGGCCCTATACGTATCCAGACTTAGCGGGACGAGACCTATCCACCTCTGTTTGATGAAATCTCCCAAGACTCAGGCAGAAAGACTATTTCACGAAGCAAACTTATGCTGTCAGAAAAGCCGAACATCAGGAATAAAGACCGAATCTGCACCGTTATTCATCGATGCACCATGGCAAGCATTGCTCGCCGCAGCGGGAATCGCTGGAATTGGAGCAGCCGTCCGCCTAGTCTCTACCAACCAGCAGGTGAGTGGATCGGACGGTCGGCCGGATAGATGAGACAACAAATTGTCATTGATATTACGAGTATCATTCATTAAATTTGATCGCCGCGTCGAAACATTGAGTTCCTAGATGTAGGAAGTCATTTTCCGGCAGCTAGGACTAGCTCTCTTGAAGCCATCGCTACACCCATCCATCCCTAGCCAGCCAGTCAACCGGAGTACCCGCACGCCAGGATGTTGCGTCTCGAATGCAGTCGCCGAGCGGGTTGCGAAGCACATGATTCGACGATGTCTGAATCATGAACTAGAGATGAACAGAACGTTTTTCAATGTTGACATACACTTGAGCAACGCCAACGATGGCGGCATCCGAGGAGAATGATGGGGAATAACTTCTGGCAGCGAATTTATTCGATGTCGTCCTCGTTGACGACGATATCATCATCATCACAAACATTGAAGACAGACACAGTCAACGAGTAGCGTCTCTTTACTCGTGGCAAATATCGGCAGGTACCTCTGACGACGACGACGACAGAATCTATGATGTGAACGCTGTGGAGGATCGAGCTGTAATTCACTCAGGTCACGTTGTTTACGTGTCTGTTCAGAGCTGTCAAACCGGACGTATCCAAAGAGGATCGACGCGAAGACCGCGCGATCATCGGATTGAAGCTCAGGGGCGACGGGTGATCAACTTCCTCGTCCTCCGGTCCGATTCTTGAGCCTAGAGCTGATGAGAGTATTCCGAATGACTTTCTCGCGTAGAGGAGTGCCTCCTCTATCGGTCGGTCTCAGCGAGTGCTGGGGTGATTTACGCGCGCGACCGAGCCGCCCTTGTTCTCAAGACTCGGAAGCTGACTCTCCGTGTGCTCACGCCTGAGTCGGTACGCGCCGCCTGCGACTGTCAATTTTTTGTTTTTCGAGAAGTCCGATTAGCCAACTCACCTTTCATCTTCGGGGAGATCGGTTCCGGCATCGGGTCTCATCGATTGCTTCGAATGAGTTTTGGCCTGAACTCTCCATTTCATCATCTTGAGACCGTTCTTGAGGTATCTCCGGACGACCAGGTCAAAACTTCACCAAAACACGTATTCCGGGGGATTCACCTCACAGAAATATCGCAGTCCGAACCCTATCGTTGAAGTTCGCTCGCCGACACGATTATCCGGGAAACTTTGACAAAGATCTTCAGGTTCTTCTCTGAGCCTGGTCATCACATCAAACACCTTCAGGTCTTCAACATCTTCTCCAGAAGAGAAGACGCGGACCCAAAGAAATACAGATGAGCGAGGCTTCTCAACTCCGACGATCTCAACTTCTGCAGAACCTCTTTTCGGAGATCAAAACTCGAGATTAAGGTGGCTTCGTCTCCGGTAGAATCCGCTCCACTCGCGGAGCAATAGAGAGCACTCGACCTTTCAGCGCACTCACACGAGCATCGGATGGAGCCGAACACACACACGTCCGTCCGCCAGCGCGACCGATTCAATCTGAAACGGGACGGTGGCCGTGGTGAAACGCGCGCAACAACGTTCACCGGTCGCGTGTAGTTCTCTCGTCGACCACTTCTGGCGCTTCGGTAGGGCTGTCGCTCAGCGGCGGCGACGTCTCGCTGCTTCAGGTCCGGTTATTCGTCCATTTGCTTCAGTTTAAACGAGCCGGGGGCAAGGGTACCTGAGGCGGGGCTCAGTGCCTGATGATGCAGAAACTCCAGAGCTACCGATTCTTCTGGAGCCCCCCTCCTCCCCTGTTCCCGATGCTTAACTTCTGAAGCCGATCGGAACTCGCTCACCGCGAAGGTGTGAATGGAGGTGGCGGTTTTTTTCTTCTCTGTCGCTGAACCTCTCCTCCCACGACGCAGACCGGCACAAGCGCGAAGAAAGAGAAGACAGTTCGTAAACAAAACGAAGGTTTCTTAGAATCGCCCCACTTTGTACGTCAGTCCTCATCGTACTACTCCTTGCCGTCCTCGTCTCAAGTGAGCTGCTCGGTCGGTTGAGCGGCTCTCTGGGAAGAAGCGCACGACAGGGGAGGAAGCGCGAGAAAAAAAAACTGCCTCGGTAACCGACTCATGGATTCTGAGGATAAAAAGGCTGAAAACCACCCACGCTCCCCGACAGGAAAAACAGGTTGCCGGTCGGAGTACGTCAGAAAATCGAAGTCGGCCGTAAAATACGTATTCTTTTTGAGGGTTATCCTCCCCGTTGGTAGTTCACTGTTTCCTATCTTTTCGTTCTGTCCGACGTAGCGCTCCAACACAGTCAGCTGAAACGTCTGTCGGTCCGACCGTCGAACAAACAGCGGATAGATCAGCGGTCATATCCGTGGACCTGATATTCCGAAACAGCTGGCCTCAACGCAGGCTGCTGCGGAGTTTTCCAAGAGACACCAATCGGGTGAATCCTCTCTCGACTGACTCATCATTCCGCCGAGCCTTCGACGGTCCTCATTGTGTCTCTCGTTCGGCTCACTCAGCCAGGAATTGTGTTGAACTTATGCGGACGAAAATATCCACGCACAAAACTCTACGTCTTTCCAAATCTTTCGAAAGCAGAATCAGGAGCATATCGTCCGAATTTTTCAATGTGAACTTGCGCTAGCACCATGTTGTGCGGGATTCGCACCGATTGGAAGAGTTGCCGCTTCTCTGCAAACGCATGCGAAACATACTTTTGCGAATCCTTGATGTACTCTCCCCTTCTGTCGCATCGCGTCAGACAGTATTTATTTATCTGAGGGCGCTGACCTTTCGCACCCTGATCCAGCGGATCCTGCGACGGAATTACGTTAGGCTTCCGCGAAGCAAACAGTCGATGGAACATAAATTAAGGATTCCGGAGCCGTACGCTAAAGGAGCCCTATGCGTTCCGAGTTCCCGGGCGTAGTTTCTAGGCGGTGGAACCATACTGGAATGGAATGGAGCAACTGTTGCAGGACCTACTTCTGCAAATCGGAGCGACGAATTCACGAACAAGTGAGCCTGTGACGAAATTGAATTCGATGTGCGAATCTCTATCTTAGCCGAGCCATGACACGGTTTCACGAAGGCGGGGGTGTCGAAAACTGAGTCAACGGCGTCGCGTTGACAGGGACCGAGTTTCGATTTCAATAGCGAAATCGCTGGCAATCCTCTCGGTCATGGTTCTGTTTCCGTGAGCATTGCTGCTTTGGTCGCTCGAATTTACGATGAGAGAAGTCAACGAGATTTTTTCTTCGATTAGCTCGTGCACGCGGTTGGAGTCCACGACGCTGAATTATTCGCGGTCTTCAACTGTTCTCATTGCCGGCGCGCTTAGAGCAGGAAGGGCCACGCTGTTAAAGGAATTCGTGCGCTACATTGTGACTGTTCTAGCGGCGAAGGCGGCCTGTGGAGTAAAAGTCAAAGCAGAGAAAGAATGAGAAACTCGAAAATTCCTCTAGGTTCGAAGCGAATGAACAGATAGATCCTGCTGCACCCGGCCGATCCGAGTACCGGGCGAGCGAGCGAACGGCCGGTCGCTCGGTCGAAAGGACCGACGACGGACAAGTCGAATCGTGGGAGTGGCGTCATTGAACAACCGACGAAGAGATAGCTGACTGCGTGCTCATCGACTGACTTACAAGTGACCACTGCTCGAAGGTCTGCCGGTCATTCCACGTAGTGAACAGACAGCGACGCCCCTGCTCTCCGATGAAGGAACCAGAGCGTAGATAGACGGTTCCGTATGCTCGCTTCTATCCGATAGATTTATAGGTGAAACCGATCTCACCGAGTTCGGGAGGCTCGGTGCGAACTTCTCTACGGACGTTCCTACTCGGGCCAGAGATCCGTTTGTTGGATTTGCTTGGACATTTGAGCGGCAGGTGGGCCCCAGTTTACTCAGCTGCGCTTGTAAGAGAAACACAAGCCAAAGTTATGCAATTCGAGCCCTCGTTGATTCCATCACAAATAGCCATTCACCCATCGAGCCCGTCCGACCGTTCATCCTTCTGAATAATCTCGGAACATATGGTATTCTGCTCCAACAGGTGACATGTCTCTCGAAAGACTTGGATTCCGTTCGGCAGCCTTCCGAGAACTAGTCCATGGTAGATCTTATTAGAGCTGAGAAACTCTTCGCGATTCGCCTAAAACTAGTATCCTAACGCGAAACAGAAGGAATTCTCAGGTCAAGAAATAACTTCGAAAGCTAAAGCGAGCGCCTCGAATTGATAGGGCCGAAAGCAGGACCCGAGGAGAGACACACGAAAGTCAGAAACGTGATTTATCGCCACCGTCTTCTGTTTCAATCATCTCTGTCGAATCACTCCATATAACACCGATCGCGATAATTGTGCGACAAACTGCCGACTCACTCGGGTGCCGCTAAACGGCTCGGATGTCGTGGACATGTGATAATTACAGTCGCATTGCGCTTCGGATACTTTCGTCTAGTGACAACGGAAGTCACTTTGACGGGTCGCCATTCGCTACATGCTGGGAGCCGGTTTAAAAAAGCATCAAGAACAAGTCGATGGCGGCGCGGCGCCTGAAAGCACTTCGACGTCTTCGCAACAAATTACCTTCAATTAAGTGATGTCGCGCCGCCTGCCAGAAAAGACAGAAACGCATATAAGCGTTCCGATAGCACAGGAACTTCCATATCTTTCTGCCTCTGAGGGAAGAAATTCGATACGACCACGAAGTTCCTCAACTTCGTGTTCTTGGAGAAGGTCTTTCCGGAGGCGAGTCATCAGCGAACAATGCTGTCGAGCTTGACAAAGCTTCTTCTGGGAAGGAACCTCCGTGCTGAGACGATCTTGTCCAAGGTATTGATTGATTTTCAGCTCGCGCTCTGTCAACCCGCGTCGGCACCGGATCTGTCTCGGGGAAGTCAATCGGGAGCTCATACAACGTTCTCGAAAACCGGGTGCTCTATGTAAGCCCACACTGGCTGTTGTTCGTGAAAGTAATATTTGCTTCGAATATATCATTGGATGAGCGTTCTCACATTGTGATATGTTCATTTGCGGCAGTGGGAACGTAACGGAAGTTCATGCCCGGGATTTACACGTGTGATTCACGGACATGCGACCACTACACGTAGCACCAGTCGGCGGATTCCGGAACCTAATGAGATGCCAAGGTTTGGCTGGTTCTGACTGGTTCCCGCTTGGCGGAAATGACAGTCTCGAGTATTTTCTGGAGCCGTCCGCTCGTGTCTCGTGTCCATTCGGGGCTCGCTGTTGTTATGGTTTGATAATCGTCTGGGCTTTGCGGAACTTCGTCTTTGATAGAAACTTCGTCTGCGATCTGCGGCAATCGCCGCGTCGGCGCTTGAGAGCCGCGTCAGACACTGTACGATCCTGTATGTTTGCGAACATCAGTTTTTAATCACGGTACTTCGGGGTAGGATTTATTGGAAGACGCGCGGGGAATCTCGCGAGATTGATGGCGAGTAGGACCGAGTCGGTACGATCATCGATCGCTCCGTATTCGACGCACATGGAGAATAAGTGAAAAAAAGCAAGTCCGTCATTCTTTGACTAGGTCCGTCCCGCAGCATCGAGTCGTATCCGCTTTGGGTGGTCAGTGAATTTTTATTAGGACGATGAATTGATTACAGAACGAGCCGATCGTTGCTGGGATCAAACGGGCCCATCAACGATCTGTTGCCTGATTGTGCCCTGGCATAAAAGGACCCTTTGATGCATGGATGGGGTCGCAAACGCATAGATTGATGGCTTACAGACGGAACCGGTAAATGGATCGGTAAGTGGTTGACACATAGATGAATGGATCGTATAGCTCAGACGCCCTCGATGGTGGCCTCTCTGAGGCGTGGCGCATGGTATGTCGATACTCCTCCTTGTCCATTGACGAGCACCGCACCGTCTCGAGCTAGTGAAGCACTCGAATTTTACAAATTTCGAAATATAATGGAGGCGAAGCCATCAGCCTGGGATTTGGTATATTTATCCGAGTCTTCACTGTGGCTAGGTGAGCAATCTATCACCTCGACACCCGTGAAGACTGTGAGAGAGCGGGCGACCTCTGTTGGGGAACACGAAG